CATCAATTAGAGTTAGAAGAACTGTTGTCAAACATTTGTCGAACATGCTAGAAACACAATAATCATTGCAATAATGTCTTAAGCATTTGCCTATTTAAATCCAATAAATGTTTTCCCTCCCACACCAAAAACTTTAATGTTTATAGTGACTCATATCACAGATCTTATTTTGCTGTGAGCAATTATGAAATGTAAGTGTCTTTACACACAGAAATATAATATGCTAATTAATCTCATTTACACTTAAAAAGATTGTTTTCTAAACACCGTGTCAAAGATGAGTCACAGTCACTTTGGCATGCTCTACTTTCAGAGGCCGAGTGGGTTACACAACATTTTCAGACCCGCAGAGACGTCCACAATGACCTGCGGGACCTTTAATTTGCAGGTCTGCTTGGAAACTGTGCCCTGCGCCAAAGTAGCAGACACGGGGTGGCAAACATGACAAGAAAATCTGGACTTTTTAATGATTCTTGTTACTAAAGCTACTCAGCGATTATAAAACTTTATTATTAAAGTTTCTCTTGAGCTTGGCAGACCACAGGTGGCCGTGGCAGAAACCAAAGCTCGCTCTGATGTTCAGGAGCTCCAGTAAACAAACATGCAAGGGTTAAATTGAGCTGGGTAAACACCATCATCTGATCTCGGCAGGATCATCCCTCAATAAAGATCACCCAGAGTGTCTGCAATCTCAAACATAGTGCCAGAGCCAATGAACCAGTGATGTGAGAAAGAAACTGCAACTGAAAATCACTGCATGAGAATGAATATTCTAGAATTCTCAGCTTCACTCTTCAAAAGCAATTTAAGATTATTCAACCACACTACATTTTTTAACTTTTATAGGATAGGGTGTAAACTTAGACTTTAAAATGATAAGCATATCTTATGCTTGCCAATTTTGTAACCGGCGGTTACAAAGAAAAACTGAGCATCTTACACTAATCAGACCAGACTTTTAAGTTGTTCTGAACACAACAAACACCCGCGGAAACATACTTGCTAGGAGATGCATGACAAATGAAAGATATGTTCTAAATTCACCTCAAAAACATCAAATACGTTTGATACAGTATACACTACACTTTTTTTGGGTGAAATCTGTCAGCTCTAACTGCCAAAAACTCTGCAGACTGGCTCTGACTTTCAACATCTACATTAGCATCAACTCC